AAACCATACCCCCGGCCGGGATTGAACCCGCGGTCATAGAGTCTCAAAACTCCAGCCCGTCGCGTAGCCACTAGACCAGCTAGCCACAATAAGATTCATCCAACTGGGGGTCTGAAATGGACTAATCTACTTCACAATATTCCTTATGGGAACAAATTCGGTCAGTACTGGCACCTGAACATACTTCTGGAATGAAAAAATATCGTTAACCGGGGGGTCCACTGTAGTACTGCAAAGATAAAGCCCCTGGTTATGCAGAGCATTTCAGGCAACATAGGTTAATCTTGTTCCCCAGGATGCAACCCACAAAAGTCATGCCACCATATGCACATTGTATCTCCAATTTTTCATTGCAACTTGAAACTACATTCCTTTGTGGGTAAATAATAACTAAAATTATTGTAACTCAAAGGACCACTGAATTAAGATTATGCTAAACTATTTTATTAAAAGACAGCTTGGAGAGCAAGTTTGATCTAAAATTAATACGAGTGATTCTACACAAAATATCAGTTTTGTATGGGTTCAGTAGCTATGGCAGCTTTTAACAGTTTCACTTTAGCAAATCTAGTTCATTTTAAATTGATTACCAATTTGGATGGTGTATATATACAGATTTTGTGGAAATGCACAGACATAGGAACCAAAGCATATGTAGTAAATTAAAAAAATACAAGGAACATTATTTACAATATATTTAAAAAGTTTATAGTTTATAGGTAGTAGGTTGGTAGACAGCAACCACCCAGGGAGGTACTACCGTCCTGCCAAGTGAGTGTAAAACGAAAGCGTGTAATTGTTTTACATGATGGTAGGATTGCTGGTGTCTTTTGTCTGTCTCATAAATATGCAAGATTACAGGCATGTCTTGCTACTTCTACTACACTTAGGTCACACTACACATACATGTACACGTTTATTTACACACACTCATCTGAGTTTTCTTTGATTTTATCTTAATAGTTCTTGGTCTTATTACTTTTCCTTTTATATCCATGGGGAAGTGGAATAAGAATCTTTCCTCTGTAAGCCATGCGTGTTGTAAAAGTCAACTAAAATGCCGGGAACAATGGGCTAGTAACCCCTTTTCCTGTAAAGATTACTAAAAAGAATGAGAAGAAGAAAATTGTCAAAGTGGGAAGTCTGAATGTGCGTGGATGTTGTGCAAATGATAAGAAAGAGATGATTGTGGATGTTATGAATGAGAAGAAACTGGATGTCCTGGCTTTAAGTGAAACAGTAGCTGAAGGGGGTGGGAGAGTTTTCAATGGAGAGGAATAAATGGGATTAGGTCAGGGGTTTCAAATAGAGTTAGAGCTAAAGAAGGAGTAGCAATAATGTTGAAGGATAAGCTATGGCAGGAAAAGAGGGACTATAAATGTATAAATTCAAGGATTATGTGGAGTAAAATAAAGATTGGATGTGAAAAGTGGGTTATAGTAAGCGTGTATGCACCTGGAGAAGAGAGAAGTGGAGAGGAGAGAGAGAGAGATTCTGGGAAATGTTGAGTGAATGCGTGGGGAGTTTTGAATCAAGTGTGTGAAGTAATGGTGGTTGGGGATTTCAATGCTAAAGTGGGTAAAAATGTTATGGAGGGAGTAGGTAAATTTGGGGTGCCAGGGGTAAATGTAAATGGGGAACCTTTAATTGAGCTATGTGTAGAAAGAAATTTTGTAATAAGTAATACATATTTTATGAAAAAGAGGATAAATAAATATACAAGGTATGGTGTAGCACATAATGAAAGTAGTTTGTTAGATTATGTATTGGTGGATAAAAGGTTGATGGGTAGGCTCCAGGATGTACATGTTTATAGAGGAGCAACTGATATATCGGATCATTATTTAGTTGTAGCTACAGTTAGAGTAAGAGGTAGATGGGAAAAGAGGAAGGTGGCAACAACAAGTAAGAGGGAGGTGAAAGTGTATAAACTAAGGGAGGAGGAAGTTCGGGCGAGATATAAGCGACTATTGCAGAAAAGGTGGGCTAGTGCAAAGATGAGTAGTGGGGGGCTTGAAGAGGGTTGGAATAGTTTTAAAAATGCAGTATTAGAATGTGGGGCAGAAGTTTGTGGTTATAGGAGGGTGGGGGCAGGAGGAAAGAGGAGTGATTGGTGGAATGATGAAGTAAAGGGTGTGATAAAAGAGAAAAAGGTAGCTTACGAGGGGTTTTTTACAAAGCAGAAGTGTTATAAGAATAGCAGAGTATATGGAGAGTAAAAGAAAGGTGAAGAGAGTGGTGAGAGAGTGCAAAAGGAGAGCAGATGAAAGAGTGGGAGAGGCACTGTCAAGAAATTTTAATGAAAATAAGAAAAAATTTTGTAGTGAGTTAAACAAGTTAAGAAAGCCTAGGGAAAGTATGGATTTTGTCAGTTAAAAACAGAGTAGGGGAGTTAGTAGATGGGGAGAGGGAGGTATTAGGTAGATGGCGAGAATATTTTGAGGAACTTTTAAATGTTGAGGAAGAAAGGGAGGCGGTAATTTCATGCACTGGCCAGGGAGGTATACCATCTTTTAGGAGTGAAGAAGAGCAGAATGTAAGTGTGGTGGAGGTACGTGAGGCATTACGTAGAATGAAAGGGGGTAAAGCAGCTGGAACTGATGGGATCATGACAGAAATGTTAAAAGCAGGGGGGGGATATAGTGTTGGAGTGGTTGGTACTTTTGTTTAATAAATGTATGAAAAGAGGGGAAGGTACCTAGGGATTGGCAGAGAGCATGTATAGTCCCTTTATATAAAGGGAAGGGGGACAAAAGAGATTGTAAAAATTATAGAGGAATAATTTTACTGAGTATACCAGGAAAAGTATACGGTAGGGTTATAATTGAAAGAATTAGAGGTAAGACAGAATGTAGGATTGCGGATGAGCAAGGAGGCTTCAGAGTGGGTAGGGGATGTGTAGATCAAGTGTTTACATTGAAGCATATATGTGAACAGTATTTGGATAAAGGTAGGGAAGTTTTTATTGCATTTATGGATTTAGAAAAGGCATATGATAGAGTGGATAGAGGAGCAATGGGGCAGATGTTGCAAGTATATGGAATAGGTGGTAAGTTACTAAATGCTGTAAAGAGCTTTTATGAGGATAGTGAGGCTCAGGTTAGGGTGTGTAGAAGAGAGGGAGAATACTTCCCGGTAAAAGTAGGTCTTAGACAGGGATGTGTAATGTCACCATGGTTGTTTAATATATTTATAGATGGGGTTGTAAAAGAAGTAAATGCTAGGGTGTTCGGGAGAGGGGTGGGATTAAATTATGGGGAATCAAATTCAAAATGGGAATTGACACAGTTACTTTTGCTGATGATACTGTGCTTATGGGAGATTCTAAAGAAAAATTGCAAAGGTTAGTGAATGAGTTTGAGAATGTGTGTAAAGGTAGAAAGTTGAAAGTGAACATAGAAAAGAGTAAGGTGATGAGGTATCAAATGATTTAGATAAAGAAAAATTGGATATCAAATTGGGGAGGAGGAGTATGGAAGAAGTGAATGTTTTCAGATACTTGGGAGTTGACGTGTTGGCAGATGGATTTATGAAGGATGAGGTTAATCATAGAATTGATGAGGGAAAAAAGGTGAGTGGTGCGTTGAGGTATATGTGGAGTCAAAAAACGTTATCTATGGAGGCAAAGAAGGGAATGTATGAAAGTATAGTAGTACCAACACTTTTGTATGGATGTGAAGCTTGGGTGGTAAATGCAGCAGCGAGGAGACGGTTGGAGGCAGTGGAGATGTCCTGTCTAAGGGCAATGTGTGGTGTAAATATTATGCAGAAAATTCGGAGTGTGGAAATTAGGAGAAGGTGTGAAGTTAATAAAAGCATTAGTCAGAGGGCAGAAGAGGGGTTGTTGAGGTGGTTTGGTCATTTAGAGAGAATGGATCAAAGTAGAATGACATGGAAAGCATATAAATCTATAGGGGAAGGAAAGAGGGGGTAGGGTCGTCCTCGAAAGGGTTGGAAAGAGGGGGTAAAGGAGGTTTTGTGGGCGAGGGGCTTGGACTTCCAGCAAGCGTGCATGAGCGTGTTAGATAGGAGTGAATGGAGACGAATGATACTTGGGACCTGACGATCTGTTGGAGTGTGAGCAGGGTAATATTTAGTGAAGGGATTCAGGGAAACAGTTATTTTCATATAGTCGGACTTGAGTCCTGGAAATGGGAAGTACAATGCCTGCACTTTAAAGGAGGGGTTTGGGATGTTGGCAGTTTGGAGGGATATGTTGTGTATCTTTATATGTATATGCTTCTAAACTGTTGTATTCTGAGCGCTCTGCAAAAGCAGTGATAATGTGTGAGTGGTGAAAGTGTTGAATGATGATGAAAGTATTTTCTTTTTGGGGATTTTCTTTCTTTTTTGGGTCACCTTGCCTCGGTGGGAGATGACCGACTTGTTGAAAAAAAAAAAAAATTAAAAAGTTAATAGTATATAGCATATCAACACCGCTGCTCTAGCATTTCAACTAAAAAGGCATAATTGCTATATACCAAGGCACATACTCAATTGTAAGGTGCTAGCACTGCACCGTAGGGGATTATTAGAAGTTTATTAGAAAGTGGTGCACATATGGTACAGGTTTGATTACTTAAGCACACTCATCCTGTGAGGAGGAGCAAGGAGTGCCTTGTTGCTGGTGGAGGCTCATGATGTAAGGAAATCGGACTTAAACCAATTTGGATTACATCTGATTACTAGTAATTCTTATTAGGCTATTTTTTTTCACTGTACATTATTTTTAAATTCCATTGTTATAAGCATTATTCTTTATTTATATTATCCCTTTGATTATGTAAGGACTCTTTTCAGATTAATAAATTTCTTTTAAACACTATTAATTTTGTTTTTATTTTTCAGTTTACTTCTCTAGATCTTATTTTTTTTTCATGAAAATTGGTACAGCAGAGTGTTAAAGCAATAGGTTCCCATTCCCTTGGCACAGTATGACCCCTATAGGTTTAGCACTTCCCTGATTTTTCTAGCAAGTAATTTAATATTTTTGTTTGCAGGTGCTCTTGCAGCTTACACTATCATACCAGATTTTAGAAGAAAACCTTTTTGTTGACGTAAATACATTTTAACGTGAGTACGGGTATCTGTAAATCCCATTTTTGGTATATTCTTCTTTTTGTTTTTAAATTGTCTTGTATACAGTAAATAATATGTGAATACCGAGGTAAGTATGAGGAGTTAGTTTTATAAATGTTTTAAGTCGTACATTGTTAAATATCTTGCTACTTTTATATTGGTTGCAATATACAGAATTATGGCATGTCAATTTTATACTAATTTTACTTTTGAATTAATTTTGTATAACAGGTCATCATGGGAGTGGAGAAAGGAAGCATTCGTAACAGTGATGGTTACTGGATCAAAGGTGAAGGAGGCCACAAACATGGCTTTGCTCTTCTAAATGATCTTAAGAAGATGAACGCCATCACTGTGCCTGCTATTCTCGAGTATGCTGCTAATAATCATGGAGAAGCATCTTGTATGGGCACCAGGAAACTCTTGGCAAGGGAAAGGATTTTGGAAAAGGGCAAAAAACTGGAGAAGTTACATTTTGGTGACTACTTTTATAGATCATATAAAGATGTTCAAGAAATGGTTGTGAAATTCAGTGATGGAATTCGAAACTTAGGACTGGGTAATGGTGACCGCGTTGCTGTGTTTGCGGAGACACGAGCTGAGTGGTATGTGGCAGCTGTTGGATGCCTGCGCAGTGGTTTGAGTGTGGTGACTCTCTACACAAATTTGCCAAACGAAAGTATTGCTCTGTGTCTCAAGGAAACTGAAGTTAACACGCTCATCACTACCCATGATTTATTACCTCGTGTGGTTAAAATACTTCCTAAGTGTAACTTAGTGACCAATGTCATTGTTATTGAAGACCAGCTTGATGGTATTGGATCTGTTGAAGAGGTTTCTAAGGAAGTCACTGTAATTCCTTTCCAGGATATATTAAATTTGGAATCCTCAGAAAAGAGCAAGCCATTAGTACTACCAACACCTGATGCTATAGCTATTATCATGTATACAAGTGGATCAACAGGCCATCCAAAAGGAGTTGAATTAACACACAGCAACATTTTTGCCTCTATTTCAGCTTATTGTATCCAAGCTGACTTAAGATTAGGGGATCGATATATTGCATATCTTCCATTAGCACATGTCATGGAACTGGCCACGGAGACAGCCCTAATTGCCATGAATGTCACTATAGCTTATTCTTCTCCATTCACTTTAACAAATAGCAGTGCAAAGATTATGAAAGGCACCATAGGAGATGCCAGAGTAGTCAAACCCACGTGTATGAGTGCTGTACCACTCATCTTAGAGAGAATAATTAAGGGAGTTACTAAAGTGATTGAAGACCAAGGTCATTTGAAAGCTAGGATCTTTTATGAAGCATTAAAATATAAGCAAAAACAAGTGGGTCCTTCTTTTGCTAGTAAAGTCCTGGATGCCCTTGTATTCAATAGAGTTAAGGAGGAGCTTGGAGGGCAGTTAAGAATGCTGGTAGTGGGTGGGGCACCACTATCTCCAGAAATTCATAATAAAATTCGAGCACTATTTGGCTGCACACTTCAGGTTGGTTATGGAGCTACCGAGACCTCAGCTTGTATCAGCAGCATGGATACCAAAGATTCTCGTGCGGGACATTGTGGACCACCTAACCATGGGGTGCTGCTCTCATTAGAGGACTGGGAGGAAGGAGGTTATCTGTCAACAGATAAGCCCAACCCTCGGGGTGAAATTGTCGTGGGTGGACCAATGGTATCTAGAGGTTACTTTCGTCTCCAAGAGAAAACCGAAGAGGTGTTCTTTAATAGAGATGGAGTTAGATGGTTCAGAACTGGTGACATTGGTGAGATTGATGAAACTGGTGTCCTGCATGTGGTAGACCGAAAGGCAGATCTTGTTAAGCTGAATAATGGTGAATATGTCTCCTTGGGGAGTATTGAGAGTAAACTTAAGACTCATAAGATTATAGAGAGTATTTGTGTATGTGCTTATCCAGGAGCCCAGAATACTGTAGCCATAGTTGTTCCTGTAGTTGATTACCTAAAGAAAGTAGGCATGAAACTAGGTCATTTAGACGATACACCTATTAACGATCTTTGCAGCAATGCAAAAGTTGTGAAAGCTGTTCTTGAAGAGCTGCTTGACCATGGCAAGAACCAAGGACTTGGGCGTTGGGATCTTCCGGCAGGAATCTTCCTTACTCTTGAGCCTTGGACTCCTGAATCAGGATTGGTCACTGCAGCACTTAAAATTAAAAGGGTCCCCATTAAGTCCCATTTTCAAGCTGAACTTGACACTTTATACAGCCAGCTGGAACAGGTCACCAACTAGAAATGTGCAAATTAAAATATTTTGGCTTCATTTGAATTTTGTTGCAGTTAATACAACTTTTGCATTCATGTTAATCAGACAAGAAAGTAGAAATGGGCAAAAATATGTAAGGTACAAATTCCCACTCAATGTACTGTGGCTTTAGGTGAATCAGCCATTGCAAGATGTTCCATTTCTATTTGTAATGCATATGTGATATTCATTTACTGTATGTGATCAGTACGGGTCACAACATATTGAAGTCTTGATACAGGTGCTCCTTGACTTACAATGGTTCAGCTTGTGATGATTCATCTTTATGATGGTGCAGAAGCTATTACAGTAATTATTTGTTTATTTACTTATTCAGTGACAGTTATTTACTTATTTAGCGGATCATGTTTGTATCAGACTTAGGATATTTTCGACTTAAATTGGGTTTGTTAGAACCTAACCCCATCACAAGTCAAGGAGCATTTGTATGTGAGAAAGTGTTGATGGCCTGATGTGTAAAGTGCTGCATCTCTGGAGAGCCATTGAGCAGGCTTTATCCTCTGTACACGAAGCTTGAGATGTATGAACCGACTTTGTTTTACATGCCTTGTTGTTTACAAGCATAAAGAGCTTTTTCTCCAAAATTAATAAAATTTCTCATAAATGTTCAAAATATAGTGTTCATAAAAATTACTGAATATACAATACTTCCCAGTAACAGATTTAAGATTGCTTTGGAGAACACTTTTTTTTTTTAGGTAAATATTCTCTAGTTTTTTGCTGAATTAATTTTTACAAGTTTAACTGCCAGGTTAGAGTGATAGTTTAGTGTGAGAATTAGTGCCTTAGTAGATTTGTGGTGCATAGTTATAATGTGACAGTATACCTTATTGGTGACTGCTGGGGGGGGGGGTGAAGGAACGGGGCCATTGTCCCTTCGTATATCAGGGCTGTGTTAAGGAAAAAGCAACCTTATTGATATCAAGCTCTGTTTCCATATTCCTTTTGATTTCCTTGTCCCTTGGAACTTTTACCCCTTCCTAGATATATACACTCCCATACCTGGAAAAGTTCCAATGGAAAAGTTCCACAGTATGTTGGGCTTTTCATATTAGTAGTCCAGAAGGAGTAAAACTGCCTAATCCTTGATAAAGAATAACTGCCTCATTTAACTTCAAGGTTACTTCTCATTTTTGTAGTACCATTTGGCCCATACGGGTTTAGCATTTTCTGTGACTAATTATCACATTTGCTTTGTGAATTATTTACGTAGTAACTACTTTTTGGGCTTGGTTCTCCAGTTTCTTCCTTTTTTTAAAAATTAGTTATGGTTGTACAATGTAGAGGTTGAGTGTCTCGCATATTGACTTGTAGCTCAGTGGTAGCACGTTTCACTTGCAATTGAAGGACCCTGGTTCACTCTTTAGTGTAAGTTGAGACATTTGGGCAGGTCTCCTTGCACCTGCTTCTCTTGTTCATCTAGCATTAAACAAGAACCAGGATAATAATAAGCTTTTGTGGATTGCAGTATGGGGTACAGCACCTACGAATCCCATTGCAAATTAGCTACAACACTTGTCTTTCCAGGGTTACCTTGGATTAATTAAAAGCCCTCTGGGGGTAATAATAGGAAGAAAATTCTTTTACAAATAGTAATGCAGTTTTTTTAGTTCATTTTTTTTTTTTAAATGAAACTGAAAAAGTGCATTCAAGATTAAATAGCAAGTACTGATTTTCAGACGAGATGTTGATGAGTGGAACAATCTTAAAAGTAGTCAATGAAGCTAAAAGCTTTGGTAGTTTTAAAAAGAGATTAGATAAATATATGAGTGAGGAGGGCTGGGTTTAACCCTTTAACTGTCCAAGCAGATCTACGTTCACATGCGTAGGGCTCCAAAAGTAGATCTATGTTTTTTTTACATATTTTCTAAACATAAAAAAAAAAAAAACATAGATCAAAGTTTTTTTTACACGTTTTCAAATGTAAAAAAAAAAATCCTTTTTTTTTTTTACATACTTTCAAATGTTGAAAAAATATAGATCTACGTTTGGACAGTTTAAGGGTTAATTAGTACCTAAGGTACTGAAGCAAATTCTTTGTCACTCAGGTAGATGGGAATGGGCCAGTAGGCCTACTGCAGTGCTTCTCTATTCTTAGGTTCTTATGAAGGCTTTTCAATGTTGGATGGACTTTTTCAGTTGCAATTTACAAACATAGAGTGAAGAGAGCTTGATGTATTTCACGGAGTGATTTTTCACCATTTTCTGTGAAATTTGTTTGGGAAAAAAAGATATGAATTGTGGTTGCTGTGAACTAAGAGATAGTCAGACTTAAACCAAAGACTGAAGCAATATAGAAACTATATGGATTTATTGCATGAAGCATTATAGAAACTACATTAATTTATTGCATAAATCAATATAAAAACATTGATTTATTGAATGCTAATCTAAGCCTCTAAATTATAAGAGCACTGTGTTTACATTTGATTTTTTCAAGAAAGCGATATTTGGTGAATTATAAGATACATAAAGGAAGATACTACATATTTTGGTTGAAAATAAACGAATGAATTTTAAGTGTAATACATTTTATCAATAAATATGTTTCACAATCTTGCACAATTATTCGACATGCAGTTGGTTGTGTTCAAGCACAGTTGAAATTAATATTTGGAGGGTCTATACAGTGAGAGGTACATACTGTGTGTGTGTATATATGTCGTGCCAAATAGGTAAAACTGTAAGTTAGCAAGAACTCATTTAAAATTAAGTCTTGTCTAAAATTTACTCTTATACATTTAAAGATATATTTTTTCATTAATGTTAATGTAAAAATTAATAATTTTGTTCCAACAGAACTTTAGAAAACTTACCTAACCTTATTATAACATCACAATTAATTTAACCTAATCCAACTAAATATATTTTAGATACATTTACAATAATTTAATAAACAAGCACAGTGAAATATATTTTTTCATTAGCTTCAGAAGGATTTTTGTGAAATTATTGCACACACAAATTTTTGCTTACCTTATTCGGCAAACAGTGTTGCTATTTAATCCAGAATTGCAAGTTTTACTTATTCGGCATGACATATATATGCATTTATGTACATTCACACACACACACACACTGTATGTAATACATGGTATATGTATTGTGGATGTATTACAAAGGTTTATCTTTTTAATGATGCACAGAATATTTGTGCATATACATGCACTGAGGTATATATCTGGGTATATGCTGAGAGTTTTACTTAGTCTCTGTTTTGGAAGTTAAAGCATACTTGAGTGTCAGTTTATAGGCATCACGTAGACCCTTGTGCAATTGATAGGCTTTACATCTGTTTGCAAATAAAATGGTTATGACTATGACCATAATTTTTAAAGGTATGGACCGGTAAGCCAGTGAAAGGCCTCGGTCAGTTGACCAAAAGCTGCAATGGTGGGTCATCTAAGACCCGTGTCAGGAAACTCGTGTCCTGTTTCCTGATGAACCTTACCTAACCTAACCTTTAAATCTGCCAAACTGCACTAAATCACTGAAAATAAAGCCTATGTATGATGCATTATTAGAAGTGTTAGGCCTAAATGTGAGGTTTGCAATTGCATATACAGTATTGCATAAAATAGTATTTCCACTAAGAATTGCAATACAGTTTTGCATTTTGTACAAAATTAAGCTACTTATGTGAATAAGATTGTTAAAATTTATTCCATAATCGTGTATTAGCTGCACTTCAGCCAGTGCTAATTTTTTTTTATATATTTATTATGTATTATATAATTTTTATCTAGAAAGAAACATTTTTATTTATGTCTGTTGAGTGATGAATGTTTTGTTTTTGAGTCATCCTTGATGGAAAATGACCGATGTGTATAAAATATTTTGTCTTGTTTGACACTTGTTACTATTAGTTTGCTATAATAATTAAAGTATAATTTATACTTTTGTTTTGCTATTGTGTGTGTATTACACATGTCTATGGGAGTATAAACAAGTAAATTCCACATGGATAGAAATAAGAAGTAGAAAGAGTCTGAAAACACATTAAAAATAAGTATATATTTTAGCAACACTCAGAGACCCTTTTTAGTTACTGAAGATTGGTATCTGATCGAGTTAGAAATATATAAACCCTTTCCACTATGTTTTATTTTCTGATCAGCATTTATGACATGTACATTTAGAAGGGAAGGTCAGGTATATGTAGTGACATGCATAATTGAATGATCTCAGCATGTAGAGTAATTGAACCACCTACATTTATGTTATGTGATGATGTACGAGGCATTGCACGGCAAAAATGAAGCGCCATCATGGTTAAAACCAGGGCTAGTGAACAAACCAATTCTGTTACATCTCTGTTTGAGGGGATGTGTATATACTGTGTTCTAGATCAATAAGTTTGATAGCCCCATAACAAAGTATTTGGGTAACTTTATCTTCATAACTTCAGTATACCCTCTTCCCATGCCTGCATTTTTCTCCAGTGTTTAAATTTTATGTTTATTCATTTCTGCTGTACAATGCCTCACACTTTGAATGTTAGGAAAATTAATATGGAAAAATACACAAATAACCCGCACATAGAAGAGAGAAGCTTATGACGATGTTTCGGTTCGACTTGGACCATTTACAAATTGACTTTGCAAATGGTCCAAGTCGGACCGAAACGTCGTCGTAAGCTTCTCTCTTCTATGTGCGGGTTATTTGTGTATTGTTCCAGTCACGGTATTGTGCCTTTTTTTTGTTATTGTTAATATGGAAAAAATTAATGTGTGCTTTATACCACAATTAAGCTGGAAGTGTTGTAAAATTTCTATGCACAATGTTTGCTACCACATTTTCCATCATGTAAGATACATCTTTGCATTAGATGCATTTAAGTTATGGAGAAGACTTGATTAATGTACATTATCACACATACTCTACTGCTACCAATATTACTTTGGCCGCATAAAAAGAATCAGGTAATTTTTTTAATCTACGTTTTTGGACCATATGAAAAATTTGTTTTTTGTGTGACAGAAGATATATACTAACTGTCCATTCAATGCCTCGAAGTATTATCAGTGCCTTTGTGTGCCTTTCTAGTTCTTAAATTTGAATGAATCGGATGCCTATATGTTGTGTATTGAAGGAAGATTATTCAGTCATGGATGTTATGATGGCTAATAGAGCTCAGTAATTTTAATGTTGTAGCACTTTTGTTTGTGAATACAATGTGATCAAAGATAAAGCATAATAATAATAATCCACAAAGAAAAATCAATAGTTTGAGCTATCTTGGATCATAATTAAAACTTCAGTGCCAGCTGTTGTTAATATATTCATTGGAAAGCAGTAAATCCATAAGGGTCATATAGTGCCTAACAAATGAGAGGTACTTGGGTTTGATTGAAGGGAGAGGATAGCATCAGCTCCTTGGATGCAGAACCCTTCCTTATGATCAAGGCATACGTTGTAATGGGGATGCCAACTGCTAGGATGCATCAAAGTGAGAAAGTTTTGTCATCAAAATAGCCATGTATCCCTGCACCATTTATTTTCAGAAACTTCTGTCATTGAGGTACTCAGATAACCATGTATCCCTGCAACATTATTTTCAGAAACTTGTCATTGAGGTATACATGTATCTCTGCAACATAATTATTTCATAATGAACCTGAGCAGCTTGAGCAGTCCAAAAATTGTTGTCATTTTAGTCTTGTATGCATTTCATCAGTGAAATCAGCCCATCAAATGCCTTCCTTTAAGCTTGTGGAAGGCTCATAGTTCAAGGAATTGCAGCCACATTTCCCTCTGATAAACCCTGATTGCATCCCATTCCCAAGTCACTGTCCCTGAAGAGTTTAGTGCTTCCCCATGAATGTAATGAGTGAAGTCATCATAACTTAATGTAAAAGAACAAGGTCATAGTTCCATGTTTAGGCCAAGTCTGATTTTTTGTACAATTTATTTAAAAAATGGAAAAGTTTTTATTTTTTTATTTTTTTTTTAAAAAGGATTGTATTCCTCTCACCGGCTGTTATATGCAGTCTGATTTTTTTTATTAACAAGACACTATGTGGCTTATGGCATTTTATTGAAAAGACATACGTTGACCAAGGGCTTTTTTGACAAAGTTCCTGGTGATGATACAGTGTCTTCATAAAATGACATAAACCACACTGTCTTATTACATCCTTGTTGGTACGTAATGCCATTGATGTACCTGCTCTGAATTGTCTTTTTTTTTTCACTTTAACTGATTGAATTGTTTTTATACATGGGCAATATATTGTATTCTGACTTAGTGTATATTGTTTTATTTCCTCATATTGTTTTCTGCCCCTCAAGGTGGGGTGCCTTGATATTCATGGAAGGCTCTTAGTCCAGGTAATTGAAGCTACACTTCACTTTTGTAGATCTTGTCTCTCTATACATCACTTGCCCCTAGATCCTGATTTGTTTCATGTACTTTCTTCTGCTCTGTTTTTTTTTTTCCCCCCTTATTTTTTGACCAATTTGTGGCTTTTTGATGTGAACTGAACTTTGAGTTTTGTCTTGTGGACTGTGTTGTGGAACTTTTCCCCAGATATTTTTACCACTTTGTCCCACTCATGCACATGTGAGTATGTTAGATAGGAGTGAGTGGAGATGAACTTTACTTGTTCTTTTTAGGTCACCCTGCCTTGGTAGGATACGGCCGGTTCATTGAAAAAAAAAATACGTATATACAGCCTCTCCTCACTTAGTGATGTACTCTTTTTACCTAAATAATGTATATTAGAGCTGATTTCCTCTATTCTGTTTATTACAATATACAGTGCACTACTGTAGAAACATTTAATAATATACCAGAAATGTTATAAATGGTGCAAATGTAACATTAAAACAATGCCAAACGCCCTACCATTATAGTATGCTACTCGGCTACATATTCGTTTACCAACGAGGTCTTAGGTACCTAGGGATTGGCACAGATCATGTATTTTTTTTTATTATTTTTTGTATTATCACACTGGCCGATTCCCACCAAGGCAGGGTGGCCCGAAAAAGAAAAACTTTCACCATCATTCACTCCATCACTGTCTTGCCAGAAGGGTGCTTTACACTACAGTTTTTAAACTGCAACATTAACACCCCTCCTTCAGAGTGCAGGCACTGTACTTCCCATCTCCAGGACTCAAGTCCGGCCTGCCGGTTTCCCTGAACCCCTTCATAAATGTTACTTTGCTCACACTCCAACAGCACGTCAAGTATTTAAAAAAACCCTTTGTCTCCATTCACTCCTATCAAACCGCCTCATGCATACCTGCTGGAAGTCCAAGCCCCTCGCACACAAAACCTCCTTTACCCCCTCTCCCCAAACCCTTTTCCCTAGGCCAACCCTACCCCGCCTTCCTTCCACTACAGACTGATACACTCTTGAAGTCATTCTGTTTCGCTCCATTCTCTCTACATGTCCGAACCACCTCAAAAAACCCCTTCCTCAGCCCTCTGGACAAACAGTTTTGGTAATCCCGCACCTCCTCCTAACTTCTAAATTTACGAATTCTCTGCATTATATTCACACCACACATTGCCCTCAGACATGACACCCTCCACTCCCTCCGCCTTCTCCTCGCTGCAACATTCATCACCCATGCTTCACACCCATAAAAGAGCGTTGGTAAAACTATACTCTCTTTAATTCCCTCTTTGCTCCAAGGACAAAGTTCTTTGTTCCACAGATCCTAAGTGCCCACTCACTCTTTTTCCCTCATCAATTCTATGATTCACCTCATCTTTCTAGACCATCGCTGACACGTCCACTCCCAAATATCTGAATACATTCCCTCTCCATACTCTCTCCCCCCAATCTGATATTCAATCTTTCATCAACCCAATCTTTTTTTTTATCCTCATAACCTTACTCTTTCCTGTATTCACCTTTAATTTTCTTCTTTTGCACACCCTACCAAATTCATCCACCAATCTCTGCAACTTCTCTTCAGAATCTCCCAAGAGCACAGTGTCATCAGCAAAGAGCAGCTGTGACAACTCCCACTTTGTGTGTGATTCTTTATCTTTTAACTCCACGCCTCTTGTCAAGACCCTCGCATTTACTTCTCTTACAACCCCATCTATAAATATATTAAACAACCACGGTGACATCACACATCCTTGTCTAAGGCCTACTTTTACTGGGAAATAATTTCCCCTTTCCTACATACTCTTAACTTGAGCCTCACTATCCTCGTAAAAACTCTTCACTGCTCCTTTATATAAAGGGATGCGGGGACAAAAAGAGATAAAAATTATAGGGGAATACATTGACTAAGTATACCAGATAAAGTGTATGGTAGGGTTATTATTGAAAGAATTAGCAGTAAGACAGACAGCAGGATTGCAGATGAACAAGGAGGCTTTAGAATGGGTATTAGATCTGTCGGTCTTCTTCCTCAGACCGAACCTAATTGCCCCCCATTCTCCCCTCCCCTATCCCATCCTCCCCATCCTCCCCTTTTTCCATTCCTCCTCCTCCTCCTCCCCACCCCTCCCTTTTGCCCTTCCTCTTTTTGGCCTTTGGGATTTCTCCCACAGGCGTGCTAGTTCCTAAGTAGGGGAAAGGACACCGGGGTCCATCCCATTCCGTTGAGGCTCTTGGCGGTGGCGTAGTTTGCCGTGGAATCTGGATCGCCTGGGGATGTCCTGATCCCCCTCGGTATCCCGGGTAGCTTTGGGTATCTTTTGGGCGACGGGTGTATCTTGGAA